CTTTCCTTTAGCAGTCTGCTGAACCGTGTTTGCCAGACATGCTAGGCCTGGTAAGTCCTGCACCCAAGGGCCAAGCAGTGCTGCTAAGCAAGCGTCTGCCCAGCCTTTCCTTTGGAGTTGCACTTTCTTTGTGAACCTTTATTCACCTTCACTGGAAGATACGCTTTTGCTTAAGTAGTGACAGCTCTGCAGAAAGCAGCGGAGTTAAAGCTAGAGACGGCTCTGCTGCGTTCAGTAAAAGCTGATCTATAATACTGAGAGGGGTGCGTCACTTTCCTGCACTGCTCGCAGTGCTTCTCTTTGGTTACTGCTAAGACTCCTGGCTCCATTGGCCATTAGCAGCCATGTTTGTTCTTTCTCATTTGTACTCTCACTTCACTGAAGTTCATCTGCTTGCAGGAAGTGATCAGACTTCTCAACACAGAGGTCTGATGAGATATGAGCAGAACACTCTCTAACTGTGGCAATCAGATGTAAAAATTTTTTCTGCTCAGTAAAATCCCATGGATATTGCCTAAAATCCTATAAAACCTGTGAGATGAAAAATGAGACTTCTCTGGCCTCTTCTCCCTCTCTTGTAACCATACTGGACTGGATGTGCCAGGTCTGACTCTGCTGGTTCTCATGAGGATCCCGGTTGCCCCAACTCAGTTTCTTTTGTGCTAATCCTGGATGGTCCATCTTCTTCTATTTGACTACCTGACTTCACATTCTGCCTGCACAGAGCCTTACTCTTGAGTGCACTGTTAGCCCTATAGAAGAGAGCTGGGTTCAGCTTGCAGGATTTGATGCACACAGACTGGAGAGGTGCTGTAGTGAGTTGTTCCATGTGGCTCCCCGTGACTCTACTTGGCTTCTCCAGCTGTCAGGGAAGCAATGAGCGGAGAGAAGAACCCCAGAGTGCCTTGGCCCCCTGTGCAGGGTGCAAAGGTCCTAAAGGTGGGGATGGTTGCTCTTTGGCTGCTTGTACCCAGCACCCAGTACCATATCTGAGAGCTTTTGAAGTGCCCTCCCAGCAGATGAGGAGCTGGTGCTACTCTGGCTGTGGGACTGTCTGCAGGGTTAGCAGCATCCAGTGAAGTGCTGGGATGTGCAAAGTTCTCGCAGTGGGGAAAAAAAAATCTGCATTTTTGTGCTGAATTTTAGCCATGTTTCTGATCCCCATGATAATTCTGAATTCTGCATCTTGTCTCAAAATAAGAAAGCAACAAGTTTCTCATTTAAACCAAAATATGTAAATAAAATAGAAGCTCTTGCTATGGAAAAAATGCTCGTTCATTCTCCATGATGCAATTTTTCCTGCTAAGATTAAAAGGGTTTATATATCTTCAATTCTACTCTTGAATTGCCTTTTTCAGCGTCACAAGCTATTTGTATGTATATATGGAAGGAGGGAAGCACTCCTTGTTCTCCAAACATGCACTCTTTCCTCTCATTCCAGGAAGTCTCAGCCATGCTTTGCATGTTGGAAACAACAGAAACAGCTCCAGATTTCCAGGAATGGTCCAGTGAGTAAGGGTTTCTTACCACCACAGGCTCTGAAGGCACTGGGCTGCTTACGATCCTGCCCATCCAGCATCCTGTGTACTGGGTTGTTTTCCCTGTGACTTGGTTGTTCTGTTTAGAACTGTAGAATCCTTAGAGTTGGAAAGGACTTCTGAAGGCCATCTAGTTCAGTTCCCCTGTAATGAGCAGGGACGTCCACATCTAGATCAGGTTGCCAAGAGCGGTCTCCAGGGACGAGGCATTTCATTTCCAGCCCTGAGGATTACTGTTCTGAGGCTGCACTCACCTGCCAATGTAGTATCTCTCCCAGCACATCACTACCTGGGTTTTCCCTGGATCCGTGTCTTAAGAATGGCTCTCCTACCCTGTGGGCCCCATTCTTGTTGGCTCTGTGTGCTCACATCCCAAGTGCTGTGGCTGCCTGTGCCTCACATCCCCCGCTGCTCCTGGGCTCTCCCAAAGAATAGGGCAGTGGGGACTTGACTTTGCTATAGATGTGACTGTGTCTCACCAGGAGGAAGAAGTCCATTCATGCTCCTGCCATGTACAGAGAAATGCTAAAGATGTTTGGGAATTGCACAATAGCTCAATGAAATGACAGCCTTTTTCCTTAAAGACAGATATTGCTTTGATCAGGTGCTCACTTGCTTTGCTTGAATAAGCCAAACTCATTCCAAGAACAAAAGGGCTGCCACTGCAATAGCCTGGCTTTTCAATTTCAAACTATCTGCAGATTACAGAATAAATGAAATATTCAGCATACACAAATACTGTACAGAATGATATGATACGGACCATTTCACTTCCTTTCATCCTTTTCCAACTTGCTGGCTTTTATGTAATGGATAGACCTACATCAAAAGCCACACTCAAGAATAAACAAATACTTAAAGCGCACATTACACATGGCATTCCTAAGCCATCTGTAAATGATATAGAATTATTCTTTGAAGAATAGAGAGGCAGAGTCTAATATACACTCCTCCATGAGACCAGACCATGATGCAGTGACAGAGCAGCGTTCCTGAGTGCTTGGTGTATGTGAGATACCAGCTGCCTTTGGGGCGCGTCTGTATTTGACAACACGAATAAGGACAGTCTTTGCTGCTAGGACCCCAGAACAGAGATGCATCAGATGCATCTTCCAACTCTTTTTAATCCTACCCGTCGCTCCTGCAGTGAGGCGATGCGAGCTCCATCTCAGGCAGTTCATGGTAGCAATCTTCAGCACCACACTGCCAGCTTGTCAAGCGATCTCTTGTGGTCCTCTTGTAACCTCCCTTACACCTGGGACATGCTTTCAGTCTCTGAGGGGCAACTTCACTGTCCGTCTCTGCCCGAACATCTTTTCTGCCTCTCAGGGTGTCAGCAGGCTGGGGCATTGCCTGCTATGCCCATGGGATCCTGCTGATCTCCAGCTGGGGACATGTCACTGTGCTCTGACTGTGACCCACCCTGGCTCTGCAGGTCAGGAACCAGACATATATTTACAGCAGTCTTTGGGAAGGACAGATGCTCTGGTCAAAAGTGCTGTGAGAGACAATACCAGGCAGACTCTTTAAGTATGGGATATACCCTGCAGCTGGAAAATTGATATGCATCCAGAAGAAAACACCTGAGCTGTTTGCCCAGCCTGTGACACCAGAGGAATGCGCACTGCCCAGTGCCTTTGGGACTCAAACTTGGTCCATACCGAATATACTGAGTCTGATTAGCAGCTTATCAGGCTGGAGCAGATGATCTTCCATTCATATCTTCTGGCTCATTAAGTCCAGACAGTCACTGACTGCAGCTGTGACCCTTCTCCGCTTTTATTCCTATGGGAATCTCTTTCTCAAAGTTGAGATTTCAGCATTATATGCCAAACTTCATTGTCAGTAAGGCCTGTACAGTAATGCTCGTGTTTTCTTAACATATGAGTTCTCCCTTATATACACTTATATACGCTCATTTCAGTCACTTATAGTTACTATTCATGATTCAGCAGTTTTCTGTTATTTCAGGTTCTCCATGCCACTCATGCTGTTTTCCAAACTAAAGTCACTGCTACTTTTTGGACCAGAGATTATGTTACATATCCTGCAGCCAGTCCACACTGCCATTTGAGCCACCCGTTCCCCATCTATTCTAGACATTTCTCACAATGTCACAATTGCCAATATGAGAAAGGTTTCTCTTCATACATGCACCTGCCTTGCTCCACAGCCAAGTGTCACCACTGCCCACCCTACACCTCCTGGACAGATTTCCAGTGCTGGTCTTTAGTAGAGATGGAAGGGCTCCTGTGCCACCCTGCTGGGACTTCTTGTGTACAGAGATAACAGAAAAAGCAAGCAGAATCTCAGCACCGCAGGGAGATGTGTGACAGCATTACAGCACAGCAAAACCTTCAGTGTTTTATTACAATACTTTAAATGAGAAACACTTCTCCCAGTGGGAAGTGGCCTCATCCCCTGCTCTCAGTCCCCCCTCCCCTGGCACACGGTGGCTCCCTGGTGCACGTCCTTGCCACCAAAGCTAAGCTGATCTTTCTGTTTCTCCAGAGGTTGTCCCCAAAATGCCCATTCCACATTGGTATCAGCTCTCTTTTCAGCATCAAAGTGCAAATGAGTCAGCCAGGCTCTTTCTAGGAATTCCCATCTCTCTTCTCACGTCTTAACCAAGTTGAATTGCAGTTCTGATCTTGTTTCAGTGCCCATGAAATTGCAATGAAATATTGTTAAGGTGCCTGAAATAGAGTTTTATTTTGCTTTCAGAGGGTACTTTGGAATATTTTTCTTTATTTTATCTTGGTCCTTCTTTGTAAGTAGTTGAATGGCAGCTTTACTTGTCTCCTGTGATGCCTTGCAATGTGACACGCACCCTGTGAAGTGATTTTCTCAGAATTGTTATCCTGCATGGTACATAGCACACAGTTTGTGCCCAGCACCTCCTCCTACTCGTGCCACCTTTTAGTGCTAGCAGATCAGATTGCATCCTGAGCATTACACATAGTCTGTTGTGTTCTTTCCACCCAAGGTACCTGCTCTCATCTCTGATTTCAGGACCTCAGGTCCTCCATTCTCCCCTATTCCTGATGTTTTCTCAGCAGCACAACCATTTCCATGTTTCTTACAGCCAGCATCCTCTCTCTAAATGTTGGTCAACAGTATCTACCATCCATTCAACTGCTGTTCTCAGGAAGAACATTGTGCATTTCTGGCCACTTCACATCATTTACCTTCCAATGTTCTAGGTCTCATTGATAAATTCTTATTCATTCTTTCTACCTTTGTATGAAAGTGAACATACTGATTATAGCGCCTCTCTGCTTTTTCCTTTCCTTTCTCCAGCATTAATTTCATTTCTGTTTTCTACTCTCAATCCCAGAGGCAAATGCAGGGAGGATGCACCTTTCTGTGAACACACTCATGACTATCCTCAGTCTTGCCCTGTACCAGTCTCAAATCTTTTATTTCTTTTCCTTTTCTCATTGCATCCTTACATTACTTCCTTAAGAGGGTGCTGGTCACCCAGGTCTCCTCATTGCATCTTCACACTCCATCTGCATTCTTTCCTCTGTGCTAGCTGGCATCTGGCATTATCAGTCCTTCCAGTTTTACTCCTTGTAGTCAGTCCTCCTCTTTATTGGTTATGGCCTCTAATGGGTCACTCAGTCTGCTGTGATTTATGGTATCTCTCTCCATAAAACATTGTGGAAGTGGCACATAACTCCGTAGGCAATCCTATTCATCAGAGCAGATTCAGAGTAATCACCTATTTATCTCCTGTTCAATAGACTTGCTACAGCACTCATTATGAATTCATTTAAACTGAAGTACAGTGTCCCATTATGCACTAATGGTGATGAGAAACATGACAAAACAAATGCCATTTTAAAATTGGGAAATGAATCTGTGCAGCAAGATGTACTACTACAGCTACTGACAGATTCTTACTCTTGGGGTCTTCTGCAGCACACACTTTGTTGTCTCCTCATACCTGGGCTATACCCTGCTATGATGCCTCTGGCAGAATCAAATCCCTTCCACCCCCCCCCCCCCCCCCATATGGCTGCCAACACATGGTGAGGCTGCACCACTCCCCCCTCCCTGCAGCACACCTCTCAGCACAGTCCCTCTGCACAGCTCCCATCGTTGCAGTGCCTCTCCCACAGTCCCAGAGCACTGGCACAGCCTGGATCCATGGTGCTGGGCTGGGAATTGCCCAATGACTGCAACCGTGCTGAGTGCACTGACTGTGCTGCACTGCACCATGCAGCCCTGCTATGGCTCTGAATGTTCTTCAGGCCTCTTTCGTGTTTGTACGTTCAGGAGAATGAACTTCGCAGGGCTGTTGAATCCTTTTCCACAGGACTTGAAGCAATACTCACGTTGCTGTGATGTCTCAGAGCACCAAGGGAAGAACCTTGGCTTTAAACAAAAAGAACCAAGTTCTGGGCTCCTATTAGCTGGCGATTGGGGCCAGCTGCAGTGAGCAGCCGAGGGCCACTGTCAGGCAATGGAGCTGAGTTTTCACCAACACACTGCTTGCCCCTGCCCCGAGCTCTGGAAGCAGCAGAGGTGGCTGGGGCATGCTGGGGGGGAGCAGGAGGGAGCTGCTCTCCTAATCGTATCAGAATTTGAATCTTGAGCAATTCCTTCATGGTTTCTTACAGAAGCAGGCTGTGCTAACAAGAGAGCACAAAGAATGTCAGACAAATGCTTTGTGTCACTGAGGGAAAGGAGATTTTAAAATATTCATCCTATGCTGAGCCATTCAGCACAGCCCTGGGGCGGATGGTGCAGTGGGCTTCTTTTCTGAAGACTGCCATAAACTGCAACACAGTGCCTTATTGCATCACTTACTGCATCTCAGCCCCTCCATGCAGGGCTCTGTTGCAGGCAGTGCACTACTGGGGCTGCTGTTTCCCTCAGCAAAAGCATGCTTAGAATCATTGTATCATAGAATCATTGAGATTGGAAAAAGTCTCAGATCTGCAGGTCCAAATGCCAACCCATCCTCACCACACGCACTGAATTGTGTCCCTTAGTGCCACATCTCCAGTTCTGGAATACCTTTTAGGGAGGATAATTCCACCACCTCCCTGGTCAGCCTGTTCCAATGCCTGACTACTCTTTTGGAGAAGAAATTTTTCCTAATATCCATTCTGACCCTCCTCTGGCACAACTTGAAGCTGTTACCTCTCATCCTATCACTAGTTACCTGCTTCTCCCAGATAGTTTCCCTAAAGCAGTGGTTTGGCCACAGCTCTGTAATGTAGTGCTGCAACCTCCTGTAGGAACAGGCCCAAGGATCCCAGCCACATGTATGACTGTCCAAGAAGCTGATGTCTGGAGGGGTGGGATGAGTCCAGAAGCCTGTGAACTTCCTTGCCTTCCCCTTAGAGCCATAGGTTTGAAGACTTAGATCATAGCTTTGGTGGAAAAAAATGCACAGTGGGAGATAACGGCAAAAAGACTTCACATGATTCTTTTTCTGGAGAAGAGCAACCCCTCCTCTCACTGTGCTGCTGATGCTTTGGATGCTGCTGCCCCCAGGGTAGGCTCCTGTTTATGCAGAGTTGTTCTGGAGCTCAGCCCTGGACAGCAGTGTGTCAGAGGCCAGCAGACCCAGCGCTGTTCAGTGGGTTCAAGCCTGGGCCAACCTGGTACAGATGGTGGGGTGCTATGATGAGGCCCGTGTGACCCTCCCTTTCCCCCCAGTCATATCTAGGCTGTAAGAACAGATGTGGAGGTTGTTGTTGTACCTGTGATGATGGCTCTGACTCTGGATGTCCCACCACTTGCTGCATGCAGCATCTCCTCCCCAAACTTCTGACTTTTAAGGGCTTCGGTTCCAGTGGAAACCTCTCTCAGTGTTCTCAGTGAGGAGCAGGTTGGACACAGTCCCAGAATGGCACCACCAAAGTTCTCACAAGTATCCAGTCAGAATTCATCCTGAAGTGAGATCACAAAGATGATGCAAAGCAATCAGACAAAAAAACATAACCACAAATAACTGTCAGTTTTTTAGAACAGAGCTTCCTTTGCCTCAGAATCACAAAAGGATTGCTTTACGTGTGCATGTGGCCTTGCAAATCTCCAGTGTCTTGGAGGTGTGTGTTTAAAACTGCGTGAGCAATGCAAGGCTCAGTGTCAGCATTCACCTACATTAAATCCACCTTTGGATAAATCCACACAGCACATGGCTTCCCCAGCTGGAATTGTCTCCATAGAGCCTGTTCTGAGCTGCTGTGTCCCCACCTGGAGCAGGATCCTGTGCTTAGCCCTACAAAGGGCTGTCCCCTCTGTTCACAGTACTTTATTATAATGCCCAGTGACTCATCTGTACAATCAATCAGGGAACAAAGCTTAGGCTTAGCAAGATTACCATGATGGAAAGATAATAGAAAGAAATGGAAATACTCACCAATGCTGTAAGCTTGCAGTAAACTCCACAAGGAGCAACCTCCAGAAAGAGACCCTGCCTCAGTGGCAGTCAGCCCTTAAATGGGATCTAGGAGAGGTGCATCCACCCTTTCTGGTAGCAAGGAGAATTGCTTTCACCTGTGCTACTGCGGCTGACTCAGTGCTGACTCAGGTGGTCCATCAGAGGTTCAAGCTGTGATCAGCAGTTCCCATACAGCCGTCCAAGCCTGCTCCTCCAGCCCAACATGTCTGTGTGGTACAGACGTGTGCTCCTCATGGCTGTTTGCAGAGGTTTGCTCTGAACCCTCAGCTCCAAATGCGAACAACAAGTCATCAGTATGTCTGTTATTATGGAATTCTTTGCTGGCAACAGTTGTCCTGTGTTGTATAATTAAAACCAGTACAATGTCTGGAGCATTATTTAATAGGAAATAATCAGTGCTGTACTTGCACACTTGAGCTAATCAATCACTGCAGGAATGCCAGTGCTGGCCACTTGCTGGAAAGCCACCTGTGTCCATCAGGGCACCAAAACGGTCCTCTACTTGTTGTGGGTTCATTAACGGAACTTCATGAAGAAATCTCATTTTCATATATGCCAGTCATCTAATAAATGTTGTAGAGCTGTTTCTTAATCTAAGCTTTTTATTTTATTTTTGATTACTCTATAGAAAGTAGTTTGGGAATGTAATAAAAACAATTTAATAGTAATTTAAAAAATGAAAATGATAATATAGTGTTCCTGACTTGCCTTAAAAAGACCCCAAATTAAAGAAATAATTTAAAAGTGCAGAAGAAAAAGTGCATCCTAGAAAGCCCATGTGTGCTTTGCAATGGGGACTTGTTGGTTCTTGGCTGCACACCTCAGCCCCAGGCAGCCCCGTGCTGTGGTGCTGGGTACTGCCCAGAGGTGTTCTGCTGTCCACTGCCTGCATCTCATTGCATGCGGAGATCACCTGAGCACTGGGAATCTGCAACCCTCTGCATCGTTATTTGATTTGTAAAATGTTTCCAATAAGCTTCAAACAGATTAGATTGGGCCTGCCTGGAGGGCGGCTCTGAGCACTGTGGGGGGCTCCAGGCTCAGCTTCACATCCCCAGGCTGAGCCACAAATCTGGGGTCCCTCCCACAGCCACAAATACTTACTGATGTCTTGTGAAAGAGAACACCTCTTCCCATTTTGAACTCCGGATGAGAATTTCGTCATAGGGAAGCATCTTCAGAGCAGACATTCTCACAAGCTCATTTCTGGCTCTGTTTGCAGCAAGGCTTTACGGTCTGCCCTTCCAGCAGTATTCCCATCTTGGTCAGTGGCTTTTTGCCAAGCTGGTTAATCATTTCTGTTAACTTCCTTCAAGCCTGAACAATTTTAGCTCCTCCGAATCCCTTGTTATTCCTTATTGAGACACTAGCTACTACTGGTGAAAGATGACTGATTGCAATAGCTGTGGGCAGAGCTCATGCTGATTAATAAACCACTTGAAAACAATATGCTTTTTAGCCATTACAGTTATTAATAGTATGTTTGCTTCCTTTCTTGGGACATTCAGCACTCAGGGAATTAGCCAATCTGGAGAATGAATCTTTTAGCTCATAGTGGACACCAAACTCAATCTCCCTGGCTGGAAGGAGGCTATACAGTCATTTTCAAGACTCCACAGAATTTGGCATTGTAGTAGAAACTGAATAGCTTGAAGTATTTCTTTGACTGCCTTCGGCAAGATGAGCTGCTAAGATGAGAAGCTGGTGGAGCTGGTAAGTGGGTGACAGGCCACGTGCCAATCACTGACCTGGAAGATTCTGCACTAACTCTGACGGCCCCTACAACAGCGTGCCTACTCACTGTGCTGAAATCCAAGGGTAGATCTTTTCTTGGGTGCTGCTATTTCCTAGGGTTAATAGACCCTCTTTCTGTGCCTACATTTCCATATGCAAATCCTTTCAATATACAAATATCACGTGGAAGAACAATATGGATTTGAAAAGCTTTCTTTCCCACTGCAGTGAATACAATTTTGCTTTACATTTGTGCCAGTAGCATGTTGTTTTGCTGTTGATCTACATTGAAAACTGATAGAAATTTTGCATACATTGTGTTCAAATTATCCTACACCTCATTTAAAGCATGCAAAGGGGAAGGGAAACACTTTGGTACAGAAGTGCTGCTGCTGCTTCCCAGGCCTCCAACAGTGCTGCAAAAGACACTGCTGTCACACTGAGCCTTGCCTATGGGAGCCTGGTCAGAGACAGCAGGTGTTTCTAAATGAAATCTCCATGCTGCCTGATTTTGATGGGTCCTTTACCTTGTAAAACCGGGAATTATTAATTAATAGTTATGCTTTGTTTATGAGTTAACGGGTAACTGGGTTGGGTAAGATTTCAAACTGTCCCTGGATGTCCCTGGACTCATTCACACTGGGAGTAACTGTCATGCAGTGCTATTAAGCAACACAGAGCAGAACTCACACGTAGGATATTCTTTCTTTCTCTCTTCTTCACTTTTCTTTTTTCTCCCTTTTTATTCTCTCCCTCTGTGCATTGTATCATAGACTGATGAGTAAGACTGTACTTCAGCCTCTCTAGAGGAAGGTGGTTTGTGGTAAGAAGGAGCCCAGCAGCCTCTGGTGTCAATACTGCCCAACTACCAAAGCTAGCTCATGTGTAGGAAGAAAACAAGTGCTTCTGGCATAGACATGGTCTTGCAATGCAGAGCAGTGTCCACAATGAAATGGTTGTCTGGGATTGAATGGGACTGTGCCTGTAGCATGAACCCAGTCTAGGTCTAACCTGGCATAAAAGTCTACAGCAATTAAACAAGCAGCTGTTCATTTTGGTCTTTTAAAGAATTTCATCATATTCTGACACTGTGACCCTTAGCAGGGAACTCAGTAAGTGAAAATAGTGAAGTAATGCTTGATTTGATCTGATTTTTTTTCTGCTGATTGCTGTGAATATCACTATGCATTTCAAATACCTATATTTGAATTGCATTAATCTGCAGAGTGTGTGTGCATCTTTTTAAAAATCGAGCAGCAAAATAATGTCTGCCTGGCATTTAATAATGGCAGATACAACAATAAATATTCATTTAAATGGGATGACTGTTTTATGTGCTGTTCTGTCCGTCAAAATATGAACCAAAAACCATGATGATATGCACATTCCATACAATCACCATAAAAGGGAATTGTACAGCAAAATATTCATCAGAAATCACTGTAAGTAAATGATGACTCTCTTCAGAAAAATCAGGAACATTCTGAGCTATAGTCACTGACTAGAAATGAGGAATAGAATGAGGGGAAATGAAGCAAACCAAGAGATCACTCGTGGAAGTATTAAAATATTACAGCTACAGGCTTCTAAATGAAACTGGTTAAACCGTAGAATTAGAGATGCTTATGTGGCAGAAACACATTTTGTTAGATTGTGGATGACATGCAAGCCTGATTTCCTTTAGTTCTTTTATAAGAAGCATCACTGGATTCAAAAGATCTAGGTGTGGTTCTCAATCACACTTCCATTTTACACATACATTTTCAGATCAAGAATACTCACAGTGTCCTGTGAGAAATAAGCAGCTACACAGCACTGTATATGTGCGTGTACAACAACTGATGCATACATACTTACCATGCACATGACAATCCATGCCGGAGGGTTGGAATTAGATGATCTTGAAAGGTCCCTTCATATCCAAACTGTTCTGTGATTCTATGATATATTCTAAATGTGTAAATACAAAATAATTAAATGTTTATATAACACAGGTGTAATATATACGTATATTTAAGAACGGCTTCCTTGGGCTCTGGCACAGTGCCTGACCAGCCTCTCACCAACAGCATCTCCTGCATGCTCAAAATGCACCTCCCTTCAGCTGTGCCCTCTGTCTCTTCTCTGTCCTTCCATGTCCATCTGCCAAGGGCCTGGCAGCCCAGCGGGCAGCTGGAGGGAGGAATAAAATGCCCATTCTGCACTTCTCACCCAGCTGCCAGCACTCATTCACACAGCCTTGCTTCTCTCCACCCGGTGCCCATCATGCCTTGGTTTCTAAGTGCTTCAAATTAGGAGCTTTTGGAAAACACAAAGGGTATACATGTTGAAAATATGTAACGATAGTTGGCTATAGAGCTCCAATTAAGCCTTTTGTGTGTTTCTGTAATACCCGGATTTTGTAAGGTAAAGGATGATTTGCAGTTTCCCTAGCAGCTTACTGGCAGTTTGTGTTCATGGCTAGCATGCACCACAAAGATCTCTCCACCTGCTTGTCGTATCCTTACAGACATCATTTAAAGGATGAACTGTACTGGAAAAGTTTCATTCTGTGTACGTTGCATTATTCACCAAAAAAACATTATTTCCATACACTTCAATTAGTACAGTAGCTGTCCACAAATAATAAAAATGATTCAGTGAAACTTCAATGTATTTTGCCATGAAATTTTCCATAGCTTTTCACAGAATGCACAGTTCCACAGTTCCACAGCTCTCTTTCTCTCTGCCTTTTTTCGACTCTCCTTCAACAATCACTTGTAGCTGGTGATATGTTTCCATTGAAAACCATATTGTGATACAAAGCAGTGTGACAGCTGCAATTTTACACAACCAGATATCAGCTGAGGAAATTGCAAGGAGCCTTTCCCTGAAACTGTGATTTCAAGAACAAATCAATTACCTCAGTGAAGCTGCTGCTCAGAAATTAAACAACCCTTTTTATCCTCAAGTAAAGTTCAGATCTGAGAGACTCACGCTGAGACTCACTTGGAGTTAGCAGAAAATCTTTGTTCTTGGGCAATTGCAAGGAAGGGAGGTTGTAATCCCACACATGACAGGGGAGGTTTAGGTTGGATATGAGGAGGAAGTTTTTCCCCCAGAGGGTGGTAAGGCACTGGAACAGGTTGCCCAAGGAGGCTGTGGATGCCCCATCCCTGCAGGCATTCAAGGCCAGGCTGGATGTGGCTCTGGGCAGCCTGGGCTGCTGGTTGGTGACCTGCACACAGCAGGGGGCTGGAGCTGGATGAACACTGTGCTCCTTTGCAACCCAGGCCATGCTGG